ACATACATACACACACACACACACACACACACACGTCTAGAAGACAAGGTACCCAAGGGCAGGGCCATTGCCTAATTTATTTACAACTTACACATGAAGACCTCTAAAAACAACCTGTTTAGTATATGAAAATTAATGTTTAATCAAACAGAGGTATCCATTTATAAAATAAATATTTTCAGTTTTAAGTTGTTTTTTTTAAATAGCAATTGTGATACCAAAGGCACCAGAAAATTTAAAAAAAAGATAAATTTCATCAAATTAAAATCTATTTGTGTCCATCAGCAGGTATTGAAATCAGAAAGTACAAAGACAAACTACAGAATGGGAGAAAATACTTGAGGGCCATATATCTGATGGTCTAATATCTAGATTATAAAAAAAATATTTTATCAAAGAGATAATTCAAATTTTCAAAAGGCAAAGGACATGAATGGACATGTCTAAAAAGATATATTAATGAATAATAATCACATGAAAGATGCCTAGTGTCATTAAACCCAACTCACTGTCATGGAGCCAATTTTGACTCATAGGAACTCAAAAGGGCAGACCTGAACTGCTCCCTAGGGTTTCCAACACAGTTGATATTGATGGAGTAGACAGCTTCATCTTTCTGCCAAAGAGCGATTTGGGGTGTTTGAACCAGTGATCTTTGAATTACCAGTCACCTGCAGTACCACTAGGGCTCCTCAGTGTTTTTAGCCATTGGGAAAAAAAAAATCAAAACAATAAGATACCATTTCATCCACAGTAGGATGGCTTATCAGAAAAACCAAATATAAGTGTTAGCAAGGATGTGGAGAAACTGGAGTATTCTTCCATTGTTGGCTGCTGTTGATGTCAGGTGTTGTTGGGTTGGCCCTGCCTCATAATGAATTCATTCCTCTTTTTCTCTGACCTCTACTTTACTCACCAAGGTGTTCTCTCCATGGACTAGTTCTTCCTGATAACATGTCGAAAGTACGTGAGACAGGCTTGCCATTCTCACTTAGGAAGAGCACTCTGCCTGTCCTTCTTCCAACATAGATTTGTTCCCTCTTCGAGCAGTCTCCTGGTACATTCTTTGCACTGTAATTCAAATGCATCAATTCTTCTTTGGTTTTAATTATTCATTTTTCAGTTTTCATATTCATGATGTGATTGAAAATATCATGTCTTAGGTCAGGCACCCTTTAGGCCTCAAAGACATCTTTGCTTTTTATCACATTAAAGAGGTCTTTTGCGGCAATTTTAGCAATGCAAAACATCATTTGATTTCTTTCTTTCTTTTTTTTTTAATCCAAAATGGGCTTATTGGTATGGCTCCCCACTTATCTTGATTCAGGGTCTTCTGGTGCTGCTTCGTCTGAAGGAGCATCCTTCTGGAAGCCTTGCTTTTCCTCCTGCAGGCTGACAGAGGACAGTAGAGCAGCCAACACACAAAACTACTGTTGGTGGCTGGCTAACGATTAGTGATTTTATAGCAGCCTGGCCATTTGACATCCGGGAAGTGGGAATTGGGGCTCTGCACCAGGTGCTGCTTTTTGTGTTTTCCCTTCTCCTCTGCAGGGGAGGGGTGAAGGAGAGCCTTTGTGAAAGGCATGATCACGTGGGGAGGTCGTCATTGCTGGAAAGGGTTTCTTTCATTTTTTTAAAGTGTGAAAACTATTTTCTTGACTTTGTATAATAGTCTCATACAATATTTACCTTTTTGTGGCTGATTTAGTCAGCATCGTGTCCTCCAGGTTGATACATATTTTGAGGTGTCTTGAAGATTCATCATTATTCTTTAGCATTGCACAGTATTCCATTTTGCATTATCCTTTGTGTGTTGCTTCCAAGAGCATTGATGGGGATCCAAATACAATAAAATCTTTGACAATTTAAATCTTTTCTCCATTTACCACAAAGTTGCTTATTGGACCAGTTGTAATAATGATTTTTGTTTTCTTCACGTAAAGGTATAATCCATTCTGAAGGCTGTATGTAGTCTTTGATCTTCATCAGTAAGGCCATCAAGTGTTAATTTTCGGCAAGCAATATTATCATCACCTGAATATCACTGGTTGGTACGGACTCTTTCTTATTCCACTTCTGATGTCATATTCTCAATGTACAATAGCTATTGGATTATTTTCTCAGTAAACAGATCGGATATGTATGGTATAAGAACAGAATTCTGACACACACCTTTTCTGATTTTATACCATGCATCATCTCCTTGTTTGTTCGAATGACTTGATCCATGTATAAATTCTGCATGACCATAATTGAGTGTTCTGAAATTCCCATTTTTCACAAAGTTATCTATAATTTTTCTGCTCCCCACAATGAATGCCTTTACATAGTAAATAAAGCACAGGTAAATATCATTTTGGTATTCTGTTTTTAGCCATGATGTACCTGATGTCAGCAATGATATTCCTCATTCCACCGTCTATTCTGAATCTGGCTTGAAGTTCGTACAGTTCCTTGTTGATGTACTGTTTCTACTGTTTTTAAATTATCTTCTGTAAAATTTTACTTGCATGTGATATTACTGATATTGTTAGATAAGTTCTTAATGCTGTTGTGTCACCTGTCTTTGAGCTGTGCACAAAAATGGATCCCTTCCAGTGTTGTGGCCAAAGTAGCTCTTCTTCAAACTTCTTGGCATAGACCAATGCTTGCAGTGTTGTATCTTTTTGTTGAAACATCTCATTTGGTATTCTGTCAATTTCTGTAGCCATGTTGTTTTTAAAAAAAATCATTTTATTGGGGGCTCGTACAGCTCTTATCACAATCCATACATAGATCCATTCTGTCAAGTATTGTTTTACATTTGTTGCCATCATCATTTTCAAAACATTTTCATTC